CAATATATATTTATATATATTTATTAGACTTGCTAGCATATTTCTTTAAATTCGTCTTTTTGCAAAATGCTAACATCACTTTCAAGAAATATGTATTCAATAAAATTATTTCTTCTAATAATACATAAGAAGCCAATTTCAATTTTATAAAGCTTGCATACTTCTCCGATTGGTATTACTTACAGTGAATTGAAACTACTTTAAGTGCCACCGAGAAAAGTTAGTTAATCTAGAAATTTGTTGCCCTACAGGAGATTAATTATGAGTTCAAAAATAAAACATTTCTTAAAAAAATACATTCGAAACCTAACAATGATATTTCATCTAATTTCAATTCTATTTTAAATAACATATCCTTCGTTTTGAAATGCTTACATTATATATACACATATATTCATATCCTTTGGAATATATATTTAGAATGCAATTTATTGATTTCTTCATCTTCATTTCTTTTTTGTCAGATCTAATAACGTCTCTGGCTACCCTCTGCTGTGAAACGGTGCATTTATTTATTTATTTATTTTATCATTTGGCCGTTTTGCAAATAAAATTTCCCAACCAAATCGGATTCATTATTAGATATTTTTGTAATTTTTATTCTTTAGTTTTATTTAGTTTAATATAAATTGTAATTTTTTTTTTCTTTCTCTTTTTTACGTCGACTGCTTTGTTTGTCGATGAAATAATTAAATTAAATAAATAAAATTCCGATATTTTTGTAATTTGTATAGGCTTTTTATTCTTTAGTTTTATTTAGTTTAATATATATTGTTTTTTCTATTTCTCTTTTTTACATCGACAGCTTTGTTTGTCTATGAAGAAAATAAATATACCTCAAAAAAAACTAAAATTTAAAAACTGTTGAAAACATATGACATCCCTTTAATATATTATAGTAAGCTACCGAATCTCAATATGAAACAATGTCTAAACGATTTACACTTGTTGTTGCTTTCTTAATTGACAATATCTGACATTACCTGACCATCCCCACTCAAATATCGTTAGATTTTTTTGGGTTGAGGTACCTGCAGTAAAATAGATATAAACCACTATGGCTTTACCTATTGTTGCATCGTTTTCTCGGTTACGATGTTGCCACAACTGCTTTGGCAGCCCAATGCGAGTCCAGCAATGCCGTCTACGTCTATCGGTCTTGCTCTGGCTTTGGCTCCTGTCGTCAACTTTACGCATTTATGACGCATTTTCTCATCACGGCAGTAGCAGCAGCAACAACAGCAGCAGCAGCAGCAGATGTGGCAATGGAATCTAGGCAAGCAACTGCATTGGATGTGGCAGTAAGGTCCCTGGGGCCATTACGCATACTTTGAGTTCGGCGCTGAGTTGATTTTCTCGTGCCAGCTTCGATCAGCATCGATCGTGGAGGAGGTTGCGGCTGAAAAGCTGATGTTGCTCTGGCTCTAGCTCTAGCTCTTGCTCTTGCTGTTTCTGATGCTGATGCTGATCATTATCAATGATCTGCAGCTTGGCATTGGCAGTGGCAGTGGCATTGGCATTGCACTTATGCGCCATTTCCTAGTTTCCCATTGCAGTTGACTGACTGACTGACTGACTGCCATCAGGCAACACCAGCACAGTGGTACAAAATGAATCAAGCTTTCAGCCTCCACACTTCCTTTTACACTGAACAAAATCATGAAGTTATAAGCTGTACCTTTACTATTATAACAATAAGACTAAAGTCCTTGTTTAATTTGTATTTGAATTTAGCTACAAGAGTAATTGAAGTTATTAAAATAACAGTATAATTAAAGTGAAATAAATACTATTATAATACTGCTTTTAAACAAAAATGGAACATTTCTTCTTTTTTTGATTTGCATATTGAAGTAAATTAATTCATTCGCTGCAATTCTGAAACGAAATATTTGCTTCTTGTTTTGCAGCCTTAAGTTATAGATTTGTGGGAAAATATATTTTAGAAGCAATTAGTAAGTGTGTTCAACATTTCTAATATATATCAGTTATATAAGAAATCAACAACAATTCAATAAATATTATAGATTTGTGGAACAATATATTTTAGAAGCAATTAGTAAGTGTCTTCAATATTTCAAATATATATCAGTGATATTAAGAAGCAACAGCAATTCAATAAATATTTTTTGCCATGAAGCCCAATTGTGAAATAGAATAGAAATTTGTGTGCAAATTGTTTGCCAATCTGATCATTACTTAAGGCAGAAAACAAAACACTTCATGGAAATACTATTACTTACATATTTTTCGATCTGATTTATTGAAAAATCTATTCCATAAATTTTTAAATCATCATTATATACATACATTAGCATTAGAGCTAACAACTCTTTAACCTTAAAGCTTTCCCTAACAATTTTAATTGCAAGCTGCACTTTCTTTTAAAACTTTGCTGATAAGCTCGCTATTTTGGAATTCGTTTTTGAAAATTGTTAAGTACATAGGCTTTTTTCTCAGTGTAATGTGGCAATATCCTCATTGTTTGCGTTGGCTATCTGCTAAGGCTCTTAAGGCCTGCACCTAGGCGGCCACATGTCGTCTGTCCGCACATGGGATGGGAGATGGGATCATTGACTATTGACCGCGCTGATTGATTACTTTGTTGTAAATATTTCTGTGCTGTCTGCAACTTTTGTTGCTGCCGCAGCGGCGGCAATTTATTGGCCAGTGTTGGAGCCGCTGCCGCTGCCACTGCCACTGCCGTTGGATGATTAAAAACGCTTTTGTGTAAATTATTAGCTGCAAATTCTCAGTTCAAAGTCATTTGTTGAGCCGCGACATTGTGGCCAGCCAGGGAAGTTGCCTCTGGCTGATGCTGCCGCTGCTGCTGTTGTTGTCGCTCATAATTTTCGCCTTGAGGTTTGCCACAGGTTTCCTTTCATCGTCATAGCCATAGCCATAGCCATAGCCATCTCCATCGCCATCGTCGTCATCATCAATTGCTTTTCGGTGTGAAAATGATGTATGTTGCACTGCGGTTGGTTTAGAATTGTACGAAGCGCTTTGTTGTGGCTATTTTGCGGGAGTAGGGAGGGGGGAGGTGAACGAACGAAACCGAATTGAATTGCAAGGAATTAAGCTGCAGTTGGTCTTTTGGCAGGCTTTTGACTTGCCGCACAGTCAGCCAATGTCTTCTACATTCTTCTTAATGCTCTACTGGCGTTAATAGAATTTATGTTTGCATTTCGATCCATAATAAAAGAAAAGGGGTAACCAGATGAGCTCATTGAGAAGGCATTCCACTGAGCTCCACATAAAAAGCAAGGCTGCAGCCTCAACTGGCGACAGCAACAACAATGACAACATCAAGCCCCCAATGGGCCATGGGCCAAAAGGCTTACAACAGTCAGTGCCAATATTTATTGACATTTAACTGTGGCAGCAGCAACAGTAGCAACCGACTGACTGCAACAGTCGCCCAGCCATGCCACAACCCAGAAGTCAACGTCAAAATACCCTTCGGCTGCCAAAGTCAAGAGCGAACTCACAGCGGAATATAAAAAGGCTGCGGTCAGACGAGCAGATTCTCTAGCTGGAGTTTGTTGAAGATACTTGTACACGATCTTGACAAACTCTTACAATTACGATTCTGTATTCTCTACGTCTTCTATAAACGTTTTAAAAATGCAAGTGTTTATGTTAAGCAGTTTTGAATAAATGTAGAAAGTAGCCACAGATCACTGATTTGAAATCCACCTTAACCTGAAAACTAAACTGAACACTGGCAGTTGATGGGCCTGGCTGTCTCACCCAAAACTTACTCAATTTACTCTCAGAAAAAACCAAAAAAGTTGGCCAAATCAACATTAAGTACTTGTTTCAAGCTCTCCTTTTTATATTTAGACTTGAAGAAGGCTTTGGTCAAAAAACGTTTCGCGCAGACATAAAAATAAAACCTTTTAATTTAAACTACTATAAATATGCCTCTAAACTACAACTTATATGAATAAACTTTATAAATGTCATGTACTATTTATTATTAACAAAGCTGTAATTATTCAATAAGTGTGTTTATTAAATTTATTTAATAATTTTTCACTTTAGGTAGCGAATGAACGAAATAGAAAGTGACTTTTTTTCGATAATGTTATCTTACAACTATAGTTTCTTCAGAGTGAAAGCATTTAAAGCATTATCTCTAAGAAATTTATATGCCAGCAGTAGCTATAGGCGATACACATAATTATCAAGTTTAATTTATGATCTTTAATCAGAATCAACATTCAGCAACAACAACAAATCAACATTTGATGCAGAAGGTGAAATTTGATGTTGCTACACTCAGAAAAAATGTAATATTTTAGTAAAAATTTCCAAGTCCCCAAATACTTATAAATCATATTTTAGTCTTAAAAAGAATCCTATTAGCTCCAAATATCTATAACACATTTGATAGATAATACAGATATGGATTTTATCAATAATAATGTACTATATATAGCCCAATTAATTCGCTTGACACATATATTTAAAAAGAGTTCAGGACATCAACAACCCAGACCGGTTGTAATCATACTACATAGTTGCAAAAAAGACTCAAGTACGAAATAATATTGAGTGCAAGAGAATCTAGAATCTTTTGTTTTATTTTTTCCCCTGAGTGTATCCATTAGAAAACATCAAGTTAATGAATGCACTAAGCTACCGAGTTGTAATCACACTACATAGTTGCAAAAAAAAATTAAAGTACGAAATAATATTGAGTGCAAGAGAATCTTCTTTTGTTATATTTTTTCCCTGAGTGTATCCATTCGAAAACATCAAGTTAATGAGTGCACTAAGCTAACTAAGTGCCCAGTAATTGTTCTTATTTGGACTGATATCAATATTTATTTCATCACGTCCCGCTCTTGACGCTCTCCATACATCTCTCGATGTGTTGTTTGCTTACCAAACGAGATAAGCCGGCAGCGCTTGATTGCCAACCATGAGCGGCAGAATTTGAAGCTTTGAGGGCGCCTGCCAGCCGCTGGCGAATTCAGTTGATAATTGGACGGCAAGGCACTCGCAACTAAGACGACACAAGTGGACTACAGAGTACAGAGTGAGTGTTTCTATATTTGGAACACTATCAGAAACGGTATCAGTCAGTCAGCAGGGGGGCGCGTAGCTTTCCGTGTCAAAACATTTCTTTCTTATCAGGCCATTTGTGATAAGCCGGCACTCGCTAATCTGTAATCTCTTACAGCATGGCAGCACAATTGAGGCACTTGAACAGACTGCGGTTGCTACGAAGCGCCCAACTAGGCGTTACTAGGCGTCAGCAGCGTTACGCCTCTGGGTTTCTGATTGAGCAGCCGGAGTACGGTTTTCTGAAGGAACTGGGACTGGAGCGCGACAATCCCGGCGTCTTTACGGGCAGCTGGCAGGGTCGCGGTCCAACAGTGACCAGCTACGATCCAGGTAGTGGACAGGCCATTGCCAATGTGCGTCAGGGTACTGTCCAGGAGCTACAGCAGGCCATAGGATTGGGCGTAGAGGCCTACAAGCAGTGGCGTCAGGTGCCGGCACCCCAGCGTGGCGAGATTGTGCGTCAAATCGGCGAGGAACTGCGCAAATACAAGGAGCAGTTGGGCAAGCTTGTTTCCCTGGAGGTGGGAAAGATCTATAGCGAAGGCCAGGGAGAGGTCCAGGAGTTCATCGACATCTGCGATTATGCGGTGGGTCTGTCCCGCATCTACGCCGGCCAGCTCATAAACTCGGAGCGGGCCGACCACACAATTCTGGAGGCCTGGCGTCCGCTCGGCTTGGTGGGTGTCATCTCCGCCTATAATTTCCCCAACGCTGTCTTCGGCTGGAACGCGGCTATCGCACTTACCACGGGTAACAGTGTGCTGTGGAAGGGAGCGCCCAGCACGCCGCTGGTCTCCGTGGCCACAACCAAAATAGTGGCCGAGGTGTTGCGCCGCAATAACCTGCCACCTGTGGTGACTTTGTGCCAGGGCGGCACGGATGTGGGTCAGTCCCTGGTGTCGGATCAACGCGTAAGCCTCGTCTCCTTTACGGGCAGCTGCCAGACCGGTCGCGATGTCGGCGTCGAGGTGCAACGTCGCTTTGGAAAAGTTATTCTCGAGCTGGGCGGCAACAATGCGCTGATAATTGACAAGAGCGCCAATGTGAAGATGGCTCTGGATGCGGCGCTCTTCGGCTGCATCGGCACCACCGGCCAACGCTGCACTACCACCCGTCGCATTATCGTGCACGAGCAGCTGCACGATAGCTTCGTCGAGGCCCTAACCGCCAAGTATAGCCAGCTGAAGCCGCGTATTGGCCACCAGCTGGATGCACAGAGTCTGGTTGGACCCGTTCACACGGAACAGAATGTCAGCAACTACAGGAAGGCTATTGAAGATGCCACTGCAGCGGGCGGCCGAGTCGCATTCGGGGGACGAGTGCTAGAACGCGCTGGATACTACGTGGAGCCAACCATCATTACAGGCCTGCCACACGACGCCAGCGTCGTTCATCGCGAGACCTTTGCGCCCATTGTGTATGTGCTGAAGGCACGCAACGTCAAGGAGGCCATTGCCTGGAACAATGAGGTCGAACAGGGTCTGTCGTCGGCCATCTTCACCGAAGACATAGGAAACGCCTTTAAGTGGATTGGCGCCCAGGGCTCCGACTGTGGCATCGTCAACATCAACACGACGACGAATGGCGCCGAAATCGGTGGCGCCTTTGGTGGTGAGAAGGCGACGGGCGGCGGTCGCGAATCCGGCTCAGACGCCTGGAAACAGTACTGCAAGCGAGCCACCATCACAGTAAACCATTCCGGCGAGCTAGCCTGCGCCCAAGGCGTCGTCTTTAACGTGGAGTAAATGAGGTCACGAGAAGCTGTAATTAAATGTAAATATCTATTCTATTCTTCCTTCCCTACAATAAAAGTCTGTTGTTTGTTATTCGCGGGAATTGTACTTTCTTGGATAGGGGTTTCAGCACGCAGCTCAATCCGCTTTCACAGATCCCATATCCATGTCAAGGCAGTGACGTTCTCAAAAGAACTCCTAGACCCTAGTAACTATTTAATATATATTGTTCACGTTTCCCAAAACAATATATACAAGTATATTTGCATTTCGTTTTGTTTTTGATGCCAAATACAAATTTCGAAATTCCAAGCAATGATGGCCATTAATTTCAAATAGAAAATATATTTCACATGATTATTATGATTATGATTATATGTATTATACTACCTCTTTCGATAAGAAACCACAGGTATACTCGTATGGTTCTCTAATCTCAATGCATACATTCGTTTGCGCAGCTTGAATTACCAACGCAATGAAATTTGACCCGCAATTTGGGTAAAAGGGAAGTCAAAGCTTATTTGAAATATTGATTTGCTTCTACAATCTGTGTAGCTAGTCGTTACAAAAGTTAAATTAATTATGGAAAGTGCAATTAAAAAGTAGAAGTAGTAGGACCAGAGCTTTTATGAGAGAGGAATGCTACAAAACGGGACAAATATTTGTTCGGAAGTACTCGAAGTCTAATTTCGACGTACGTCCAGGCAATGTGTCTGTTTTGAGAAGTATGGGGAAGCAGGAAATTATCAACCACTTCCATGCTATGTATCTCAAAATCGAGCTTTTGTTTCGTAACCTCGTGAAAAAACAGAATTTGGTGTATATTTTAAGCCTAGAACAGAATGTTTTAACAAAATTACTTTAACAATTATTAGAATATACAATTATTGCATCCATAAATATTTTCATGAAACAATAAGTATGTATATTTTCATGCAAACAAGTCCTAGGAATATATTTCTTTTTTATTCAAGCTAGCTCCCTAACCTTGTCCATCTCTAGTTGTTACCCTTGTTACCCCACTGAATGCTGCTGCCGCTTATTTATTATAGTGCCGGTTGCTATTGTTGATGCTGCTGTTGCTGTTGTTGTTGCTGCTGCCTGATTGCCTGCCCTTGCAGGAGCAACTTCTTGTTGGCAACACAATCACAATGCAGGCGATTCAAAAGTTTCGCTGTTTTGCCTGTTTAGCTGTCAGTTATCATTCACTCAAAGACGCCACAAAGTCAGCAGCAACAACAACAACAACAACGTGAAATGACAAAAATTGCTAGCCATGTTTGTGGCTCGTTGCTTTGTTCAATGAAATACACGCGTTCCTGCTTAAAGCCAAAACAAAAAAGCAGCAGCAGCAGCAACAAATGCAAATGCCATGGATGCTGTTGCCGTTGTTGTAGCTGTTGTTGATGTTGTTGTTGTTGACGTTGCCACACTGAGTTATGGGAATGCTTGCGCTTAGAAATGAATGGCACAGTCAGGCAGGCAGGCCGGCAGGCCGGCAGGCAGGCAGGCAGCCAGGAAATGGCACAAGTTCTGCGGCCCCCAACTACTCGTAGCTGAGCACAACTTAATAGTCCAAATGCAAAGTCAAGGCAACATTCGTTTTCACTTAGGAGCCCGACTTGGCCCGGCCTGGAGATGCGCGTGCAATTAAAACATGAGCTGAAAACGAAATGAAGTTGCAACAACCTTTCTCTTTCACACACACACACACACACACACACACTCGCACACACATAGACTCTACACATGGCAGCTGCATGTGCTACAAATTTGAAATGAAATATTTTCGATTCTGCTGTCAACATGAGTTTTGTTGACAACACATTAGCAACTGTTGCCGGCAACGACAGCAACAGCAGCAACTGGAAACTGGCAACCAACAACTAGCAACCAGCAACCTGCAACATGTTGCATTTGCCATTTAACGTTGCGCATGCGCCGCACGATTTGCAATTTGCAGCTAATTGAACGCGTGCGCAGGCGCATTTTGTTACACACACTTGCAACACGCCACACGCTTCCTACACCCCACCCCACTCGACTATCCCCAATCTCTCTCCTACCTACTCCAGATATCCATCCCATTCTCTACGCTGCACTCGCCTGCATGTGCAACAAGTGTCGTTCTCTAGTTAGAAAAGTGCCGGGCGACAAATGGAGTCCGACATAAAAAGCCATGCGTGAAACTTGAAACTTGGCGTTTTTAGCTTTTTGAATTGAATGAATTTCGACAGCAACCCAGCAGCGGCCAACTGAGACTTGCCCCTGCCCCTGCCCCTGCCACGGCAACAGCCAACACCAGCAGAGGCACTGGCAGTGGCACTTTGGTGACAACAACTGCAGCAACAACAGTGGGAGGCTCGTTGCTGCTGTTGTTGTTGTTGCCGCAGTGCGAACAAGACGCGTTCGTTCGTTCGTTTATTTACAAATAAATAAAGCGCAAGCTGGCTTTGGGGCTGGAACAGTTGGCCAGTTGGACTGCTCTTCTTGTTGCTGTTGTTGTTGTTGTTGCCTTAATCTAATTCGCATATCTGACTGCAGGTATACTTATTTGTTATACAGCTGTGCATTCGTATGTGCCAGTTAACCCATTAAGAGCAACCTCCTTAGTCTGGATATCAAATTCAAATTTTGACTTCTCACTTACCGAAATTACAGATGAAAATGTAGCATTTGTTTTTATAGAAGCCCGACCTAATTGGTTTCGAAAAAAGCCTAAGCTACAGAGTTTCTTTCTTCTCCTTACCTATACAGAGTATTGTTGAGGTATGTAACATAGGTCAGGAAATCCAGGCAAGGCTAAAGCTGGCCTACTCACAAGTTTTGATTTGGATAGATTTCTTATAACTTGGCAAATGCTTTTAAGAGGAGTGAAAGAAAAACATTCTAAAACAGCAGCAGATCATTCTCAGAAATTTCTCAATTCCAGAGCTATGCTAAGAAGTTTCTTTCTTTCCTTCACAAGGAAAGGTTAAGGCTTGCATACTCCCAAGATTTGATTTGTATACGTATTTAGAAAATGCTTTTAAGAGGAAACCTTTGACGAATGAAAAAAAAAACACTCTAAAACAGCAGTACATCAGTCTCAGAAATTGCTCAATTCCAGAGCCAGTCTAAGAAGCTTCTTTCTTCTCATTACAGATACAGAATATTGTTGAGGTATGTAGGTCAGGAAATCCAGGCTCTCAAGATCTTATTTGGTTATTAACTATTAGCTGTATAAGTTGGCAAATGCTTTTAAGCAAAAACCTTTGATGAGTGAAAGAAAAACTCTCAAAAACAGCAAAAGATCGTTCTCAGATATTTTTCTCTCTCTCTCTGAGCCAGTTATAAATTAAAATGTGCAAGTATAGATAGAGAAATGTTAGTGTTAATAAAATATTTTACATATTTATGTTGCTAAGCAAGTAAAATTTTAATAAAAACAAACCGACAAACCTTTTGACATTTAAAGTGACTTAATGTTTCTCAGATGATTCTGAAGTAAAAGCAACCTGTTCAGGAATAGAATTATCTGCTATTTGGACTAAATGAGGTATGTTTAAAGTACTATAGTTTTCTCGTAAAAGCTATTGTCAGAACTAGACCAAATTGAAACAGCACCAGCTTTCAATTAAAAAAATCATCATTAAAATCGGTTCACCCAGTCAAAAGTTCTAAGGTAAAAAGCACTAAAAAGAATATATTTTTTTAAATACAGTCGAATTGTGAACCATGCCCCTTTTTTGAAGTCGGTTAAAAAAAACCCCATAATTATTCTACATAGTTGAGTGTAACTTCAACAGAAATGTTATGCCAAATAATTAAAGACTTTAAATACTGTTTTGAAGACTATTTTTAAACAATAGACCAATTTTAAATGCCTTTCATATTTCATTTCGATATACAGTGGAACCTTTATGGTCCGTGATGCTCGGTTAAACATTAAACCTTTGTAAGCATCAATAATTAGTGCTCCATCTTCAACATCCACATACTTAGAAATAAATGTAAATGGGTTAATGTAATTTACTTGTTAGTTTTGTTATTGTTGACTCCTTTTTGTTTTTATTTGTGTGTGTGTGTGTGTTGTGTCTCTCTTTCTTGTTGTTTTGTCAAAGCCGCCTGCGGTGTTTTTATGTTTGCTTCTGTGCTGTGCGCTCCTGCCAGCCCCCAACCAGCCATAAGTGGCCCAAACATGTGCATTTACCCACACACATATACATACACATACTATATACTATATCGATATGCATGTGTATATATTTAAATATTTGTGCATACATTGGCAGTTCTGGTACCCCTTATTTTTCCTTCTCTCTGCAATATGTTTATGCATTTCTTGTGGTCGCTTTGGCGGTAACATTTTAGTTGTTGCTATTAGCGTTAGCCACCATGGTTGTTGTTGTTGCTGCTGGTGCTGCTGCCGTGACTGTCGCTGCAACAATGGCGCTTTTGCCTTTGGAATGTGGCTCCATTAAAATGTGCGCTTAATAAACAGTATTCTGCTTGTTGTTGTTGCTGTTGTTGTTGTTGCAATGACTGTGCAACTGTTTTGTTTGTTGTCGCATTTTATTAGCAATTTAATTGATTTGTAGGCAACAATTTGTCTAGCACTTGATATTTCTGTCTCCCTGCCTCTTTGTCTGTCCGTCTGTTCGTTCGGACTGCTGCTTAAAACCAGGCCACACGCTTGTTGGCCTCTAGAGCAGCCGGTTTTCGCTTGCATTCGCATACATTTTAGACAAGCTCTCATTTATGATGGGGGTGTTGCATATATGGACAATAAATAACTATTCCAAATACAACAACAACAATAGCAACAACCACAATAAATTGTATATAAATAAGGTTAATAGACAACTTTAAAGTTTTGACACTGAGAAATTTTGTCTGCAAAATCGGAACGCGTTTCAATTGGTAAGACGAGTCCCTCTCGAAGAAATATGCAGAAAATCACTTGCTTCTAATCTAGTTGGCGTCAGATTCTCTATTCATCAAGTTATAGAATGTTGTTTTAAATCACAAAATTGTATTTAAGTCACAAATAATGTTATTATTTTCAGAACTGAACAATTTTGGTTGCCCCTGAATAGAATACAAGAACAACAACACTTTTCAGCAACACTTTTCAGCAACACTTTTCAGCAACACTTTTCAGCAACACTTTTCAGCAACACTTTTCAGCAACACTTTTCAGCAACACTTTTCAGCAACACTTTTCAGCAACACTTTTCAGCAAAACTTTTCAGCAAAACTTTTCAGCAACACTTTTCAGCAACACTTTTCAGCAACACTTTTCAGCAACATTTTTCAGCAGCACTTTTCAGCAACACTTGACAAAATCTTGAAAGCATTATTCTCCAAAAAATAGAGAAAAATTTGGACAGCATACACAAAATTGCTTTAATATTACTCTTTAAGTTGATTTTGATTAATTTTGTGTGTAATACAATTATTTTTGAGAAGCCGACTCCTTCATAAGCCGTAACTTCCTAAGTCCCAGTTACACTTCCACAGTAATAGATTTTCCACATTATTCCAACTTATTCTTTTTATAGTCAATAGTCGATGACGCCATACTAGGAAAGAAAGAGACAAGCTAGCACTTTATTAACAGGAAAATATAACGGAAAACTCTAAGCCGATTAAATTATTTTTAAGCCACTTTGTACTAAATATTTTAGAGTATTTAAAAAAAAAATAAGACACAAATTGATTAGAATTCCCATTTATATGAAAATGCATTTATTGTCATTATATTATATTATATTGTAACTGTTCGAAATTAATAGTTTCTATTTAATAGTAAAGTAGTATCTGTTAAAAATTTAATATTTTGTATTTCAACTTACTGTCTATAGTTCTGTCATTCCTAGGTATTTCTAAATTGTCCTAAACAAATAAATGCATTATACATTATTTTTATTTGTTTTAGCAATTGCTCTAGTGTTCTTTTCTTTCAATAGTTTCGCAATTAAAGTGCTTTTAAGATGCTAAATAAATTTTATTAATTGCTTTTTATTGAGTTTTAAATTTGTACTTTAAGAATTAGTTACTTATTTCAATATTTTTAGCTTAGCGCTAAAACAAAGACGCTTTTCAAATCTGTTTCTTAGTGAGTTATTTGAGGCTAATTGCATTTCTTTCCAAACAAAGAACCAACCGACTTTTATTCAGATCGAGTTGAATACTCAAATGAATATGCTCGACCTGAAATCAGAAAATTCTATGAAAAGAATGAAGAAAGAAACTTAAAGCAACACAAACCAACATACACACAAGTGCGAATTGGACAACATGGCGGCGCGCAACATGTGGCACAACAGATAAGACCAACAACAATAAGAACATCAACAATATAGTATGCATATGCATGAGAGAGGAAGGGAGTGGCGCTCAAGCGTAAAAAGAAGAGCAGGAGAGGGAGTGCAAGAAAAAGATGGCAAGTCGAAGCCTCAGCCTGGCTGGCCCTTCGTCAGCTTGTTTGTTTTCCAAGTGGTTGCATCGTAGCTGCCGCTATTGTTGTTGCTACTGCTGTTGCTGCTTCTGCTGTTGTTGTTGTTTATTAGCAACATTCAGCAGCAACACCCATTTAATTAGAGGCTTCTTCGCACAGCTGCTGTCGCTTTACTCAGCAGAATTTGCCGCAAGAAGAATTATGGCAGGCGGCCATTTTGATGATGAGTCGCGCTTAATGCGCTCAACTACTTGGCTTGCCCCTTGGCTGCATTTTGTTGCCCCTGGAGCCCCGTGGCTGTTTCTTTTTTGTTTTTGATTTTTATTATTTTCCTGCTCTGGTAGGAGGAGCCGAAAAACTTTCTATTTGCGCCGCATTTGAAAACTCAATTTAGTGTTTTATTATTTTTAGTTGTTTTTTCTTTCGGCCACATGCTAAACACTTCCCAGGCACTTAGCTAGTTGCAGGCTGCCCGTTGCATGTGGCATGTGGCATGGGTGAATGTGTAACTCCCAAAAAGCTTATTAGCAGCTCTCGCCATGGCAAGTGGTGCAGGTGGTTGGCTGCACTGCACTGCACACGACATGCTTGCACCGCCAACGTCCAAGTGCATGATTTATGCGCCCCAATGCCAAAGCCACGCCATCGGCCAACCGCCGACAACGCCGACGCCGACGTCGATGTCGACCACGACAGTCGGCGCGACTATTAGAAAGGTCGTTTGTCGCAAACGTGACACTCGCGGCCATGGCTGGCAACACCAACAAAAAAGTACAAAATATACTCTTGCCAGTGAAAAGATCTCATTCACGCTCCTACTCCTGCCCCTGCCCCTGCCCACTACCTGTCCCTGTACTCCGGCACCCCTGCCATTTAATTGTTTTGTCAAAATCGTTGGGGTCGTGTTTCCTGCAGACGACTTAATTAGGTTTTTGGTCAACGGGGGAAAAAAAACTGCACAGGTAAGCTGAGCTCAGCGACTGCTAATGCGCTGCCACGCCCCTTGCAGACACCGCTAGCTGCTGTCCAAATGACCCACTCACGCACACAACCACACTCAAACTCACACACACACACAGATACAGTGCATATGCGTTATAGAAAACAGGCCGTGGTTGAAGGGCTGACTTCAGTTAGAATGTTTTTCCCAACTATATAAACTTTGCATTTCACTTGAAAGCAAATGCAACGATGCGTATCCTTGGTGTTCCTCGTGTTTCGATGGATTTGTCTGGTTTGAGAGCATTCGTTACGAACTTTTAAGACCATTCAAGTGATCTGGCAATGAATGTGTAAGGTTTATGGGAAAATATTGGTAGAACATCCCTTCAAAGATTTGTCAGAAGTTGATATTCTTTATGTCTGCAGGAATCAAAAAAATCACCAAGAATAATGACGGATATTCAGGCTATGGAGTGTGCTCTAATCAATTCAGTACAATATGGGACCATAAATAACAAAATTTCAATATTTTGTACAAATTTTGTTTATGAATTAACTAAACGCTAAGATAGCCGCAAGTAAGCCGTTTATTATTTGTTTTGTAGCTGAAGTATGTTTATTTTGAAAACTAATTGATTTTTTTGAGAAAAATTAGAATATAATTATATTATAATAAATTAGAATATATATATGACTGACATCTGGATGTCAACTTGCAGCCCAATAGTGTGCAACAAAACAGCGGTTTTAAAAGAAATCGACATAAAAAGGGACCAAACTTTGATCACTATACAGCCTTTTTAGTTAATTGTCCCCGGCTTTTGGTAAAATGGTGTCAAACTTGTATGAGTTACAAAAATAATAATAATGTAAAGCTTATTTGTTACAATAAAATACTCAAATTATTCGCCCTATTCAGTAACAATAGACACAATGCACAATAGATTGATTATTATAAGGTTTTTGTTTTTTGAAGTGCTTGTTTTTTTTTCTTTTTCAAGTTATATGAAACCTAATTTTTTTTTAATGTTTATTTATGCCAGTTAAATATATCTGTTTATAATACTATAATGAACCCAACCCTAGTAAATATATACATATTGGTTCTTACTCTACTAGTCCCTAAAGGTCACTCTAGAATTTACTTGTATTTAAAGTAATATACATTTCGTTTTTCGAAGACCTATGGTAATATTACAAACTTATAAAGTAGTTGAAAAAAAATATTTATATTAAACCTAATTCATCATACAAGAAGTATTACCAAAACAGAACGTGACATTTAGATGAAAGAGGGACAAGCAAATGCAAAAAACTGATTGATGTTTAAGGTGACGTCTGAAGAAAACAAAAAGAAAATGTAATTTAAAACAGAACATCAGCTGTTGATGGACACCTTAAAGAACTTATTTTGATTGTTGTTATAAAATCACTAAAAAACCCGAACTCTTTAAATATGTGAAACCTTCTTAGATTTAAATAATTATCTTAACTTAATGAACTTTAATTATAATCGAAATTTAAGAATTTTACAACTCCAGCTTAAGATCTTCAGAAATTGTACAACCAGTACAGTTGCTTCAAAAACTTATAAGCAACGATCTAGTATTTCTAGTTAGTTGCATATTAGTCCTGAAGTTCCGGGAAATTCGAAAATCTGACAATATTTGCAGTTCAATCAGTAGTTTCTTTCAACATATTGGAACGTTCAGTTTAACGTTCGTTCACTGTATTTGACGCATATTGCGCCGAAAAGTCGCACTCAAATTAATGGCTCCGTATAAATTTACACTGTTACACATTTTTTGGTGCGCTGATGAATGCGCAACGCTGTCCAGCACAGTCATGAGAGTCAGAAGCGTCGCCGCATTCACAACACAATGGCCGGGGAGGCCTAATTCCCGGCTCCTACTTTTGCTGACAAATCGCTGGTCATTTTTTATGTGCGGGTTAATGCTGCGCCCCTTTTTGTGCCCCCTCCTCAAGCTCCCCACGGGACAGCTTCATTAGCCTGGCAATGGTTCCCCGGTTCTGGGAAGTCCGAATAGCGGCATTTACAGTTACAAAGCTCTGTAAGAGTTGAAAGACGCCCCCGCATTTACAAGAATTTTGGTGCCTCGGGTAATACACACATGGACAATTTTAATACAAAATATAAACATATAAAATGGTCATTATCTTAATACTAGCGCATAGTCTGGACAATACATTTGTTTCTTAATTATCTCTTCAATTTGAAGATTACTTTTTACGCTTATAGCTAGTTTTTAGCAGTACCGATGCCAAGCTCAAGTGGAGTTAATTATTTCTGGAGAATGAGATGTTTCAACCGAGGCAGCACTATCCCTATCTCGCCTTTCTTTCAGCTCTTGCTGATGGCGCATTGTTACCATTAAAAAGTCCAAGTAACCAGGATCCACAGTATCCTCTTCCTCCTCCTCCCCTTCTTCGGCAACACAAACATAGTCCGGGTTCTGCTGTTGTTGTTGTTGTAGGCTACAATTATAGTTCAGTAGATGTGTCTGTTGCCATTGCGTTAGTTTCTGGTAAGTATTAAACCACATCTGCGAGCTTGAAATTTGCGGCTGAGGCTCCAGCTGAGTGGCATGAACATTTTGTAACTGCTTCTGCTGCTTGCGTTTGCGACGCCTTCTGGCATTTTTGCTCGCTCTACGCGCTTCATTTGACATCCTTTAAATATATATACGATGTTATCACACAACTATTGGTATTTTCATAAACATAAATATTTATCGCTGTGAATGTTTATTTTTCTGAGGCTATGGCGAGACTGCCAACTTTGCTGAATTTGTTGCAGCAGTCAGCTGTGCGTGATAGCGTTGCCCCTCTGGCTGTGTTATGAGCAGCACGCAGCACTGTATGAGCTGTATGAGCCTAGATGGCGCTATCGTAAATTTAAAGAAAATAACATAAATTCATATTTAAAAGATATTTAAAGTTCCCTTTTTTTTCGTAATGACAACAATGTGTCTTAAAAGATTAAACCCATTTGTGATGTCTAAAAGGTAGATAAGAAGTGCTCTAGAATGCATAGGTAAGTACACATGTAAATGTGTGTGTGTTATACTGTTATACGAGATCATTTCAAAAAAAAGTTCAAATAAAAACAAATTATTGCTTACTTACAATTTGATTGCCAATCATATATAGTATTTACGTTATTATTTTTATACCCATATTTCTTTTTTTTTTTTTATTATATATATTTTATGATATATATTTCACCTTGTTACAGATTTGGTCTCCACTTTGATTTGTGTATTTGTAAAATGGACATATATTACGTTTGCCGGAGGTGAAAAACGTAACAAAGGGCATCCACATTTAAAACCATGGAAATAGAAACGGAACAAGAACGGAAAAGGACATCCACATCTGAACCAAGAAACACAAACAGGAGGCGATGGATATCCTTAATACAGACGAATAAAGATGGGCGACAGTGGGTACTCAAATATAATCAAGGACCTAATCGAAGATGTGACGTCGTATACATAGTATGTTTGCAACAGAGTTGCCACTTGAGCTGTGTCTGTGAGAGCTTAACTCACGCTAGGTGGCGTGCACGTACGCAAAATAGATGGAGCCAGTTGTCTTACGGTATATATGAAAAGCAACTGCAACGTATTATCAAATGAGATATGGGATGGATATTACATTCGTACGACAAAATATTAAATAAATAAATGAAAAAATAAAAGGTTTTTTATAGTTCAGCAGTAGTTTAATAGCACTATATGCGGTAAAAACAAAGTATAGCATTCGACTGTCAAGCTTATAACGTATAAGCCAAAATAGGCCCTGACGTGACGTTACAAAAAAGGAAGTGGGTTTCGACTTGAATTACAAAATGGCAAAACTCTGCGAATTAGGAATTTTTTCAATAGGCTTTAAATAAATATAAGTTTATTATTTGAGTTATATAATTAACAAATCTGTACTGTCTTTGTTCTTAAATTTGAATTATTGTCTGACGTGCCGTTACATAATATCCTTTGGAAAATTTGTAGTTAGAATTGTTTTAAAAGCATTATTTAAAGCAAGAAAGTTAGATAATGAGTTTTACCAATTTGAACGCACTTTTGCCGTTAAAATTTGAAAAATAATTCCAGCCAAAAGCTTTGCAATATAAAATCAGGAGCACAATCAGGAAAACTTCATGCAATGAACTTATATTTAAATAATTTTACTTCTATTTGATGATTCCACCTGCTTAAGCCGCAATTGAAAGTCAATTGAAAAAAATAAAAAAAAATACCATGCAATGAAATTATTTACAATCTGACGTGAAGTCAGACACTTTTGAAAGTCAAAATAAAGATAACTATTTGATTGATAAGCAAAGTTTACAATACAATTAGTTAACTTTATTAAGCTCTGCGTTAAAAAAATGTAACAAACTTAACTGTGTTGGAAGCATTTTACATTCAGGTAAATTTTAAGCGAACATAGTTCTCATCTGCATTTCTTAGTAGATAATTATATATCATAACTAATTGCTTTCAATTTATAAAAACAAGTGGAAATACTAAAGGGTACCCCGACTTTGAAATACTCGGTACCTAATGTGTATAAAATAATTATATAAGTTTAAAAAATGCTCAAAAAACTATAAGCCAACAAAATTTAAATAATTATAAAAGAATGTTTGATGAATTATACCTCTTTCGGCAGTTGAACTTACGTGAAGGGATACAGAGATAAGGCACTGCAGCAAAGCAGAGATTACATTTATTTCTTAAACTTTTTTAAAAATTGACATATCAGACAATTACTGGAATTGTCAAATTTCGCTTACAAAAAGTATGGGTGTTATGGTAATTCAGTAATAGCGGGGGAGAAACTAGTCCTTTCTTCGGCTTAGGAGGAGATTAGATTCCAAGTTTAGTTATTCTTGCTCTTATTTATTCCGAGATCCTTACATTCGTACAGACGGACGGACATACATATATCTGGATATATATCGACTCCTCTTGTCATCTTTATCAAGAAAACTAATTAATAATTAATTAAATAATAAAAAATAATTAATAATAATTACCTTGCACTTTGGATACAGGGAATTATTCTGTTAATTATTCAAATTAATCTTTCCGTGGCCCACAAAGGTGAAATTCCTACCCCAACCTGAATACGTTGGAACATGTAACCTCATATAGGTATTTGAATTTGGTTAATGCCATCCAATATATTCGCAATTCATATACAAACAGCATTAATCGAAAAAAAGTTCTGAGATTTTTCAGAAACGGGAGCATGGCTGATAGACTGAAGACAAAAAAAAACTTCGGCATTAGCCCGACAGCCTGACTGACTTCAATTTGCTGGTCGGCAAGCCAAAAGAAAATTAAATGCTATATGAGAAGACCAGAGTGCTGTGTTTTTCTTGTAAATTTAAATCCCGTGCTTATAATGTTCAGTTGCAGCGACAATGAAGCCAAAAGAGTTCTGGACCCGTGTGCCTTGGATTAGGGCGGATCAATTTGCTTGTGGTGCGAATGCAAATTGGCCAGCGGTACGATTTAAATGAGGCTCAGCACAAGCGGCCAAACAAAGGCGGAAGCGGGCGGAATGAGTGCATCCTGCTGTGAGCATTCCGGAACAAAATGAAACGGAGTGCTCCTTTTGCGGTTTCAGGCCTGTTCAGGTCAGTTGAGCGGTCCACTGGCCGGCATATAAAGCAAAATTAGGTTTACACCTACTTTTCCAATATGTTCATAAAACAATTTAGAGATTTACATGGGATCAACCCATACCACACTATATGGCACACACTTGCTAGTGTGTATGTGTGTGTGTGTGTGCGCGCGTGTGTTGTGCATGTCCTGTGGGTGTTTGTGTTTCGCATACTTGGCATAAGCATGGCAAATTGAAAAGGCGCGTGGTCGACTTGGCTGGCCATAAAAAGCGCAATTCTCACCCGCCCAGCGCAGCTTTTGGCACAAACACATACACGTACACACACACACACACATATATATACGTTATACATGAGATAGACTTGCATACATGGGAGCTGTGCAGATTTAGTGGGATTAGTTCACGGAACCAGTCGTCGAATAAGTTTGAAAAAACAGAATTCATTTTATAAAATAATTTATTTTGAAATCTTCCATCCATCACAGTATTTATAATTTTGTAATTCAAAATATTGGAAATGGAATTGTATTTCATTGCTAAGCAGAAGGTTATTGTAGAGTGTCTAAAAAATGTGGCAGACTGCATGTTATCTGTACATATATGATAAGCATGACGAGACGAATATAGACATGTAGATCTATCCATTCATCTCCAAAAACACTGAGAACTTGTAAGCCATTACAAGCAAGGACGCCAAAGTTGCTATGTAGACTTGTTTTATTCATCTGGAAAGGAAGTTTTTTAGAAGTCACAGTTATGTATACAGCTTCTTTATTTTAAATTAATTAATGCATTAATTATTTATTAAGATATTCAAAGAAAATTATTTACTTATTAGTTTTCTCACAAAATTGAACGCTTCATTTAAATCGCAAAAATCACAAAATCGTTATTACTACTAAATCCTTTTCTGTACATTTCGGCATAGCAACTAAATTTATTGATTGTTTAATGCCTCAACATAATCTAAAGTTTTATCATAATTAGTGAACTATGTATATCATAAATAGCTGCCATAAAACAATTCGTGCAACAAAGTTTTAGTTGAATGTTACTATTCATTTGTTTCCGGAATTTGTTTCAAGAATGAAGCTTTAATCAGAAAATTTACACTTCATCTTCATTTGCACCTTAAAAGAAATTCATTTGTTCCATTTCAGTTCTAATTGAGGTAACAACAATAAAAACAAAATCTCTCCTCGTACTGCTTTTTAACCGATTTCAAAAAAAGGAGGTTATTAAAAAAGAGTTTCAAAAACTGTAAAACTTGAAAAACTGTAAAATATAAATTAAAAATGAAATTTACACTTTCTTCATTCCTTAAGAGGGCGGCAGTTTTTTGTATGTTTCTTTAAACTCTGTTAAAGGGCTTCAATTGATTCCGGTTAAAATTTAGGAAACAGAAATGTTACACTCGAAACAGAATCTGTGCCTGTTCTTGAAAAACACAGACTCTTTGCAACTCCAAAGGCTTCTTTAATTTGAGAAATATAGAAATACAGAAATATTACAGCTGAGTTGCTTTTTAAACAAGGTATACGAAAACTGAAAAACTAAATAAAAAACGACAAAGAAAAACTGAATGAGAACTCACGCCCAAAAGTATGCTATTTTAATTTCAATTGTGTTCCATTCCATTGTTTGTTGAGCAATTATTAAAGAACTGGTAGAAACGTATCTGTAAGAATCGAAATGTTTTACTATCGGTGGAGTTACGGAAATGGATAGAAATAAGATCTTATCCGTTTCAAAAGGACGTTTATAGTATACTAGCGTATCCGTTGTTGTGTTTTTTAAACTTTTCGGTGTCACATTGTGAAAAAAATAAAACAAACTCGTATAGCGTACACACATAATGCATCTTTGTGCAAAATTTGCTGTATCTAGCTCTGATAGTCTCTGAGATCTGGGAGATCATACGGACGGACAGACAGATAGACATGGCAAAACTGAAAGTTGTGGCGAATTTTCTCCATAAGTAAATACAAGAGTTCACGGGAGCTGAAAAATGTAACAGGCAGAAGGAGGCGTGGCAGACCCCACAATGTATATATATTTTGCAGATAGATTTTACAAAATTGAACTAGATTCCAGAGCACTGGAG